TAAGAACATACTCTTACATGTGAGGTATACTCTTGCTTGTTTCAAAGAGTACATTCATAAAGTCAAATGAGTTAAACGTATTAGTAACAAATCAGTCAAAAAGTAGTAGTCTCACTAAGTGCAGTGATGACATTTTGAACGAAAGTCTAATGAAGTTTATGAAGGAAAAAGTTAGTTTACTTTGTTATGAAAATGGCACCCAATGATATCGATATTTCTAAATCTACTCAAGTGTTTAAATTGTGAATTAGAAGATGAAATGATAGAAATAACTGTCCACCTGAAGCAATCTAAAAAAAATATTTCAGATAAGGCTGCATTAGCAACATTCCTATCTTTGATTTTAGAAATGGCCATTTAGTTATAAAAGAACTGGTCGAAAAGTCTAACGAAATAAGGATAACGGTGATGTCATTCTTGTTTAACTCATTCGACTTTACGAACGTAACCAAAAACATGAAAACAATTTGCTGTTACATGTAAGAGAATGTTCTTATTTGTGCTGAAATATGGTATATACATTTCATTTGGATAAAATATATTTATTTAGCCATAATTATATTATGGTAATAAAAGATTTAATTAACATAATTAGGATTATACAAATTATTACAAATGGCATTGGAAATTGAATCAAAAATTAGATATACCAGCTCCTGTTAAAATTTTGACATGACTTCAATGATGATCAGAAACTATTTAAACAATTAAGTTAAAATATGACTCCTCTCAAAATAAAAGAAACTCCATGTTATCAAGGATTCTTTTTTAATAAGTAAAAAGCAAAAAAAAAGAAATATGATGAACTGACTAAACTCCTATATGCATTTGAAGGTGCCATTAAAAATCCAAAACAAAGAGAATATATTTTAGTTGTTTAATCATAGGTTTATCTACTGTATAGTAAGTACAGTAGATAAACCTATACCATATTGTACAAAATATTGGTTTATACACTGTAGAATATGCCACTGTGAAATCTGATCAGTTTGTATGACATGAATGGGATTATCAATGATATTCTCCTGGTCATACTTTCCATTCAACCATTTTATCTTATTAGTCAATTTAAAGAATTTTTTAGCTAACAAAAGTGATGAAAGAGGAAACTTTGACCAAGACAATGCCATCAATAACTCATTTATACATCATATAAACTGATCAAATTTTACTGTGGCATATTATACAGTACAGCATAGGTTAGGTACAATATTGGGTGGGGAACCTGAGAGCTTAAGACCACGTGACCTTTGTGGCTTCTAGTATGGCCTAATAAAATATAAAGAGGTAAAATTCATAGCTGAAAAATTAAACTTATTTGTTATAATAGTATGTTTTCAGTTATCTTTCTCAATAAAGACATCTTTCTAAGTATATTGGAATAGCTAGCAACATCAATGCTGGACATAACTGGTAATGTCAAGGACCACTTTACTTGCTAACATGCTGGTTAAAGAAAGATCATGACTGGGTCCATGCAATTCAGTGTATTGTTTTGTGTGTTTGATATATTTCATTTAATTTGTAAATGTGTAGAGCAATAAAAATCTAGAGTTATCCCTGAGAATATACTCAGTCATCTGTCATTGATTTTCCATGAATAAGACAACACCACACATGGTAGAAGACAGATTAATTAGCACATACAGCTCACTCAGGTAGAGGATCTTAAACTTGAAAACCTCATTAAATGCACCAATAGTCATACTATGACTATTGGTGTATTTATACTGCAGAGCTTGAAGTTTTATCAAAGTAAGTTTCTGAAATTAATAATATTAATAATAATAATGCATTTTGTAGCTTAAATTATTATTCAAGAAATATAACTTACGAAATTAAATATTTTTCTTTTATTGCAAATATTTCTAATGTAGAGTGATCGTGATTGTAGCTAGTTTCTTACTCTATACTACTTCTTTGTCAATATTATCAAAGCAATGTTGCCAGATGATTTTAGCTTTTGTAGGCAAAATTTTCTAAAGAAAAAAATAGCCCAAAAGTACCCAACCCAAAAAACTTTTTAATAACCCGAGATTTGACGATAAAATAAAAAACACATTGGTCCGATTGTAAAAACAACGTTTAGACGCCGACGGCGGTTTACAGATCATGTACAGTACACTACATTGCAGAAAAATTTCATCGCAGAGACGACGTTTCTCGCTTGCCAAAGTTTAGACAGCAATTAGAAACCGGTAATTTGACCTACTTTCTAGACTCACTAGCTAGACAGCAGGTTTAGAGGTTTTTTTTAATTCGGGTGGTAGTTTTGTTGGTGGAAAAGTTTAGATAAAAATGGATATCGATCCTTTGATAAATGTTGGAAACGGTACGAATCGACAAAATTATTCATTAATTAATTGCTTGGAGCAAAAATAATAAAATTAAATACTTTAAATTTGTTTTAAATCTTCCAATTCCGATATTCACATACATTTATTTACAATTCAAGTATCGTGTCGGTTAATGCATTTCGGGGTCATTGTTGTTAATCCCCTAGTCAGAACGTTCTGTTAAACCACACTGTGTTAAAGAGACAATTTTAATAATTACCGAAATCTTTTTATAGAAATAAAAAAAAATGTAATAGTAATAATAAAATATTTAAATTATTCATTTCGACAGTTACGAAGGGAGACAGTAACATGCTGTCGAAATAATTCTTTAAAAATTTACTCCGAAGACGAATTTCGAATTCTGTATAAAATTTCTAAAAATGGATTTGTTCGTATTTTAACCATATTGGCGACGAAATTGAATATCGAAATGGAAAAGGATCGTCGTTAACTGCCGAACAATGGTTGTTGACGGGCCTTACGATTTTATGTTCCGGAAGCTTTCGGAATATAGCTAGCGACCAGTAGCGTGCCGTGACATTTGATGATAAGGAAGTTGTGTTTCTGTGTTTTCTAACTAATTCCTTTTAGGACCAAGTGTCCACGGAAATTTCCAAAATTACAACTTTTCGGTCACTCTCATTGAACTAGAAAAATTTCTGTCTTTATTATCTAATATTACAAAGAAATCAGTCCCCACTGTACTCGGCTAGAGATTGGTTCGTTAAGCTTTTGTTTAAGTAAAATTCCGGCTCTTTCAGCGGGGTTTTATTTATGTCCCTAATTTACTATTGATTATTTAACTACTTAAGCAGAAATAAGTCGAAACCGGTTACTGTACTCGAATATTTGTAGTCTTGGGAAAAAGTGGAAAGACAAATTTTTATCACAACGGATACATAAATCATAAATTTAAGGTAAATAAATTCTAGAGCTTTTTCTGTACCTCGCGCATCTCTCTCATTCATTAAATTTAGTTGTAAATGATGCTACCAAAGTAACAGTTAATTTTTTAACATTATACAAGAATTGTACACGTTTTTTTCTACATACCCTTAAAGATGGGATATACGAAATCGTAATATCGCCGGTTTAACATTGAAATCCGTGAGTAATATAAAATCGGAGAGCGGAATAAAAATATCAAATATTTTAATGGATTTTTTAAAAACTCCTGTCAACTATGCAGAACTATCATAAAAACATACCAATAAATTCTTATCGGTTGGGTTAAGTTATAAATCTACTCGCGATTCACGTAATCGGGCGAGGACGGCCAAATATCTAGCGGGCAGGCGGCTAACAGCCCAGAACCGGTCCTGGATAGAATTGGATGCGGTATACGTGTAGCATCCACCCAAGGCCCTAGGCTTCCACTAACTAAACCGGGTGAGGTTGGCGCTTTGTAAAGCGCATGCGCGAATCTGGCTTTTTGGATGCTGACAATACAGCGCTTCCACTCCGCCACTAATATTCGAATATACAATAGCAATTTTTTTTTCACGTGTAGTATAGAAATTTGTAATAAGATATATAATGCGGTTATAATAAAATATTGTGCGATTATTTTCATATAATTAAAATTAATATGCAGTTATTTTTTAGAAAATACAAGGGAAGCGGCGCATCCACTGCTTCCAAAGACAGCACGCTACTGCTAGCGACCTTTTCTGACATCACAAACGAATAACCCGATTGACCGAACAACTCTTAAAACAGAGGAGTAATGGCGAAGAAAGTAAGTGCCAATGTTTTGCCGAAGTTCGTTTAGAGGGCGTTCAGAAATAGTTGTCTTTGCAACGCATTTTAAACTGCGGTTCAGTCAGCCAACGTCTAGAGGCCGTTCTGCTGTTAAACGTCGTTTAACGTAAACTTTGTCTCTGCAATCGGCTGCTAGTGTTCAGGAAACGAAACCGCTTGGCCACTGGTGGACCAAAACAATTTGGTAACTTGCGACAAGCTTCGCATAAATGTGGTTATTTTTAGCTTTTGTTTGGAGCTATTACACTGAATGTAGGCCAATGTATTTTTTAATACTTCTTTTTGTTCTTCTTTTGTCCTCCCCCTTTCGCTGTTGTTTGCCACCATTAAAGAAAAAAAAAAGGGAACTTTTCATGTTTTGTTTTGCTGGAAAATGTCAGTTTTTTTGCAATTTAGCTTGTGCTTGTTTCCATTCATTAAACTTTGTGATTTCAAAACGTAAATTTTATGATAATAAATTTAATTTCTGTGATGTTATTTTGGCTTCTTTTGGAATAATCTTTGCTTTTTTTTATTTTTGGTTTTTGTCCTGTGGACATTAAGAGGGTTTTTTCCCATACCTGCCGTGGGTTGGTCCACAATAAGACGGCCAGGTATTGAAGGACGGGCATGACATAATCAGGGACCTACAGCCCAAGAGAAATTACTAGAGAGTTGCTAGTCCGGATTCAATTCCGGATCCTCCAGAGCAGTAGGCTGGAAGTACTTCCCGGAAAAACTTTCTACGGAAAACTTATCCTTAAGCGTTAGACACCTGAATTAAACCCGAAAAACTGCACGTGGCCATCTCGTTTGTCAGCGGGCTTTACAAAAGACTATATGAAAAGAACTACGTAGACATCTTAACAATAATTTTATTTTTTACAATAACAATCATTCTTTATTATTTATTACATTATTATTCATCAATGTTTTAACAGTCAAATTATACATTCATTAAAATAAGATAATTTAAATCTATAATATGAGACGATATTCTAGATTCATAAGTACCAATGACAATGGATATTATTTGTTTCAGAGACCTGGTACCTTAACTCTTCGCTCAAATTTATGCATGCAGTATTCACCTGGAGTTCTGACAGATGAATGGTAATTTGTAATATATATCTACACGTTAACAGTATTTATAGTTTCTTGGCCTGTGGGCGCTAAAAGTGCCTTTTTCTATGAGGGACAGACCGCCCGTGAAAAATTCCTGTTGAGTTGCTTCCAGAGAGACAAACTGACCGCTATAATTTAACTCTTCAGCCATCCATCCGTTGTATTTACAATGTTAAAGAATAAACCTGTATTCAAAGTTAAACTATCAAAAAAGCTATTTATTTCTTTGATTGTTTCAGGCATGAATTTATACAGGCGCAACCACTCGATTATGATATCAAGAAACCTGAAAATTTTAATCTTCTTACATCCAGCTACAACAACTTTTGGTTTGGGAAGAAAACAGACGTTTGTATAGTTTGTAACATTTTTGCGAATTTTTAAAACTTCTTTAAGATTTAATAATTTTTCTATTTAATCCAAAGCCTTTGCCAAAATCTGCTACTCACGAAATGATGGATCAATCTTTCGAATGGTATAAACAAAACAAGTATCAAAAACAAACGGCAATGGATAAAATCAGCCTACCAATTTCGAATAAAAAGTAATAAAAAGTTAATTATAAATGTAATAATTTGATTATACGGTATATTTTAACCAAAATTTCTTTTTAGGAGTGTGGAAAAATTTCCAATTTTGCAATCCCATCATCACTACGATGAAAAGAAACCAGGTTTTGGAAGTACTCAAATGTCGCATTATAAATTTCCTTGTTTTGAAGAGGTAAATATTAATATTATTCAATTGACGGCTCGATAGCCGAGTGGTTAACTTGGCAGCCTATTTTTCTGAGAACCCGGAATCAAAAGGATTCATCCAGGCTCACAATGGATTTGCTAAAAGGGGTTTCTTAGTACTCACTGGGCGAAAGAGCTTTAATACAGGGTGTCCACAAAGTCTGTGTGCAATTTAAAAAGTTTATAACTTTATTAGTATTTGTAATAAAGACATAAATATAGAATGTATTGGAAATAAAAAATCTGTATTTTTTTTATTGTTTTATTGTAGCTAAGTTCAGTCAATCAAAGGACACAGTTTACTTTTTCTTCAGTTGAAATCATGGGTCACACGTAATTCTGAAAAAGAAGTATTTATAAAGTTTCGAAAAATTGTTAAATTATTGTGTTGAAGAGTTACTAATAATTTTACTTAAAACTAGGTACATTAAGCTTTCTAATATTTTTTACAAATTTTTTCAATCGCTAATAAAGTTATAACGTTTTTAAATTGCACATGGACTTTATGGACGCCCTGTATATATATGTATGTGTATATATATATATTTATTTATATTTATATTATTAAATTTGCCAGATAAAAGTGAATATAAAATTAATTTTCTATTTAGCTCAGAAAGTCTGTTCAGGCAGAAAATCTAGATATACCATGGAAGAAATATCGCCTCTTTCATTCTTATTTTGTAGATACAGATTGTGCTTGTCATAAGAACATTCATATCTGGCAAGATGAACATTACATGTATCCCCATGGCCGACAGAAGTCAAAAACTACTCCAAAATTTGAATTTTAAATCATTCATCGATATCTTTACAATTGATATTCTCTAATGATTAATTTTGATTTGTCTCGGAAACGTAGCGGAAAATTATGAAAATTTCGTAACTTAGGATAATAAAATAAAACTTTGCTACATTAATTATAATCACAGCGTATTTTCGAAAATGCGAAATTTTAAAATTAATAAATATAATTATAATTGGATCTATTTTGTATTAGTATAATTCAATTGAAGGCTGGATGGCCGAAGCAGTTAAGGTGTTGATGTAACAGTCTGAGGACTCGAGATCAATTCAGGACATTCGAAAATTCCTGAAAATTTTTCGTGTGGTGACGGGACCCGACATATCCAGAACGAATATGTCGGGTCTTGTTCCTCGCCACCCAGTCTCTCCCATTGTGGACATGGCCAAACCTGCGATGAATACGTAAAATGCCCTCGTAATTAAAAGAAATGAGTGATAGAATAAAGCAACACCATATTTGAGAAATCTATCAAAGGGGATTTCTCTGAAGGAGGACTTTCTTTGGGAAACTGGCACCTAAACTAGCACCTTTAGGTGTTACGCAGGCAACGAAAACCCGGAAAATTCCACGTAGCCAGCTCTTAGGTGAGGTGCGAACTCGCAACCTCTTGGTCTCTTGTGGGCCACGGAAGAAAGAGTTAAAAACGAAAGAAAAAGGTTAGTTTAAGCAATTTAATAGTTCATGCATGTAAAATTTATTACCGTATATAAAAAAAATAAAATATTTTCATTCGTTCATTTCTAAAATTATAGAAATTATAACAGAATTCCTGTGGTTAAATTTGCGTGTTTCACTTTCTTCCAATGCTGAATATGTTAAACGTAAAAATTTAAATAGAATTGATCCTCTTCTAAAAATATAGGCCTACATTGTATAATTTATGAATTTTAATTTTTAACTATGTGTTTGTTTGTTTTAATCTTTAAAGAAATAATTTTTAGTTAATAAATTAATAAATTTACGATACGTAAAAGTTAAGAAAAAATAGATAAATTATAAAATGTAATTTATAATTTATTTACTAGAAAAAGTTATAAAATTTTAATAAGATAATTTTTTTCGCAGAACTATAAGTGTTTCATGAATCTCATATTTTTAAAATGAATCTAATGTTTATTATTTCTCAACACATAATAGAGAAAATAAGAAATAATTCTTTGAGAAAAGAAAAAATTCAGAATCTTATTTTTCGTATTTTTGTTCTGATTCCTGAAACACTCCAAAATCTCTCTTTGTTTCTCATCTCTCAAAAAGGTGATTGGCAGTTCGAAAATCAATAGCAATATAACTAGCGGTGGTGTGAAGAAAGCTTTACACGATCTAAAAAATACAAAGTTAGATTAGAGTTAATTCTATTTTCTTAATAAAAAACTTAATGTGTAAGTACATTAAATAATGTAAACCAATTAAATAAATCTGCTTAATAGATACTTAATTTTATATAATATAAATTTACTTGCTCTTTTACTTTACCGGCTGATATAACCCTGGACAGACATGCACCAGTGGCTTGCAGAGCGTTTGGCTACCTCCGGATAGCAATATACGTTTTCCAGACTCAACCCCTGTGGATTTTTTTCTGTGGGGTCACCTAAAAGCATCGGTGTATGATATGTACTTAGCAGCACCAAATGATATTAGGAAACTGGGGTCTAGTGTACCCAGTTTCCTAATATCATTTGGTGCTTTCAATATCATTAATACTTTCAATAATACCGAAGTTTCGTTATCCAATAACAACGGTGGCTTATATTGCATATTTAAACCCCAAATCTCACATTAACGTCTAAGAGAGTAACATATTATATTTTTAGACGTGGTACGACTTCGAATATGTCATATAAGCCTCCCGTTGTTATTGGATAACGAAACTTATTTCAAATGAAAGAAAATGCTGTATAATATGTAATTTGAAAATATTGTTTCAAGAAAATAGAAATATTTTCCTACTTCTTATGTTTTCCAATATGCTTAAACGTTACCAATTTCAACTGTAAAACTGAGATAAAATAGCAATGTAATATTCATTATATGTGACGACAGAAATATATAAATCTCTATTATTGTTTGAAATTACAATTATAATCTTAAGAAATTAAAAATTAATATTCCAAAACAAAACAAAAATCTTTTCTAACTGTTCGTAACGTCTTATAAACTGTAAAATTCATATAAAGGATAAGACGAAAGTTACTTAATACTTATAAAATCAAACTGATTTAGGGAAGGAAAATTTTAGTATGATAAAAAGATATTTATTATATATTTATTTTAGCGTGCCAAAATTCCAAGTAACATGTTATTATTCCATAATTTTTCTGTCCAACTCAATTCGATTTTATAAGAGGGTTAAGCAACTTTTGACTCGCACCGCAGATGTACAGTACAACGTAATACAATTGTTAAAAATTTAAATTTTATATATGTATATATTGGAATACGATTAAATCATATATTTACAATTTAAATTCAATTTTAATTTTAAATATATATCTTAAACTATTAAATTACATCATATAGGCCTAATTATATAAAAGAAATGTAATTTTAATTATATAATATTTCAAAAAGATTATACAGTATATACATTTTTATGCATAAAAAATATTATAAACTTTTAGTATTTTACTAACTTGACACTGCGTTTTTTCATATTTTCTGATTAAAAAGTTTGAATCCAGAATGTCAACAGCTTTTCTCCTTTAGTCATTTCATCTAAAAGCGACATTTGATCAAGTCACATTGCAGATGGCTTCAGTTATAAAAAAATCTCTTCTGTAAAGTACACATCGTCCTTTTGATAACTAATAACAAATTTCGTTATTTACTATTCCTTTACACAAATAGCGTTATATTTAACTACTCCGATTTTCTTTAAATGAAACTGGATACAGGAATATTCATTCTTTCATCAGTTATTTTCTAATTTTACGTTTAATTTTGACTAAATAAATTATTTTAATCTTTAATACTCAAAATAAAGGATCGTTTTAAAAACTTTACAATAAATTTCGAATCGAAATTTTAAAAATCCAGCAACGAGATGCTTAACTTTCCCGGCAACTTTTAAAATTTTGGTGCCGCCAACTGTTACAATATTTTATTTAAATAAAACGTTTTATATTTTTAATTACCCGTATTATAAAAATGGCAAAAAGCTTAATTTTGGAGTAGGGATGGGTTTTATAAAAAAATGTAAATGCTAATATCGAATAAAAACGTCATTAAGTCCAACCCTATTCGATACGATGCACGACCCCCCTTTATCTTCCATCCGCGACTTTTAACCCCCAAAATTTAATAGAATCAATCCCCTTAATACACAAACCTTCCTGTAAAATTTCAGAAATTTTCGACGAAAAACACAGGAGTAATTAAACTTCAAAGAGGGTGAACAAAATCGTGCCCCCCACACACATTGACATTTATACATACAAAAAACCTCCAATTTTTTTGTATTTCTCGATGTTTTAAGGTCCCCTGAGTGCAAAAATGTAAAATTCTTAGGAAGGGTCATTTTTTTTTACCCATTGCAATACTTTCTCTCTGTTATTGATAACAGAGCCGGGAAAGTAAAAATATATATATTATCGATTGAATAATTTAATAAACACCTCTAATGTATGTTAACTTGAGTTAATAAATTGTCACGTGATATGATAGTAAAACATGCAATTAGGCCTATATTTTTTCGTACATATACTATTTAAATCAGTGTTTTGCAAACTGGGTCCTACCTCTCCCTTGAGGGTGATAGAAGACTCTTGTTTGAAAACGGGGCAAAAATTCATTTGGAAACAAAAGAAATAAAGAAATATATCCACTAAAGGGAGGGGTGATAGTCTGAAAAGTTTGTAAAACAGTGATTTAAATAATTAAATTTTAAAAAATAATCTGATTTTCGTAGAAAATTTTCCGAAATTTTTATTCAACTTTAAATATTGTTTTCGTTAATTTTATATATAAATAGGTGCTCCACCTTGAGCGAATACAATACATAAAAGTAACGTTTCAAATAAAAAAATCCGTTCAACATAAAGGATTTACATGATTATAGTTGACAAATTAATGGACGTGCCTTTACAAATTTAATTCGTTGCTTCTTAATGGAGTTTTCCAGTGTATAAACAGTTATTTGATTAAATTGTTTTGCACTTTTTAAAACTGTTATCGTTTTTTTAAGGAAACAACGATAAATTTTGAGTGGATAATGTAAAAATCAAATCACTTTATTAATTTTTGAGTTTTTTAAAATATTCTATAATTTTTATTTAATTTTAAAGTTTTGCAACATTTCTAAATTAATTGAAAATTGGCAAGTTTTCTAACAAATGAATAATATAAAATTATATATGTGTATTTCATAATAAGCTTACATTTATTGAATTCCGAGAATTAAAATTTACTCATGGATACTCAATTTTAAATCGGAAGTTCAAAGCTCTTCTTCCGGAATTTGTTCAAAATATTTTTCATAGTAAGACCATAAAATAGAAAAAATATAAAAGAGTCACTTGACTTGCCAACCAGTGACCGAATGATAAAACTGCTGAACACTTCGTTACTGGGTCGCGAGTTCAAGCCTCATCAACAGGCTGAAATGTAGTTTCCGGGTTTTCTTCGCGTAGAAAAGATTTCCGGGAGGTACCACCCGTTAGCAGATGTATAGAAGGCTCATTCGTTACTTGGCCTTCTTTCATAGGTCTGATCCTGTTGATTGGTTGCCTATTTGTTATTGATTATTTTAATTGTCAATAATGTAGTAGTATTTTCACATCAATCAGAACAAATTACATTACGAATAGAGAAATAGACCAAACTTTATTATATCGTATCAATAATAAAATTATTTAAATTATAAAAATATACTGTAAGGTCTCTTTTTATGCGAATTTTTTATATGCGCTTTTCTGTAGAACGTATCCACCGCATAAAACGAGATCTTACAGTAATTGTCTTAATTTCAGCAGTTTCCAGTAATAAAACATATTTATCACACTACAGTAATAAAAACAAGTGAAGTAAACAAGATAATATCTAAAGCCGGACAAAATGTTACACCCAAAGGAAAGAAAATCAATTAACTCAGTTATAATAAAGTCAACAGACAAGAATAGTTTATTATCGTTTTAGCTGTTTAAGATTAGTTCTGTCTAGAGATATTCTCCAAAAACATTTCTATTTCATACAAGTGAAAACAAGTGTAACAATAGTTATTAATTGTAGTTCTGGAGAAATAATTTATGCTTTTTGTGTAATTTCATTCCTCCAAAACTTATATCTACTATGTTTTCGAACCATAACAGCTGAAACAGATTCATAAACATGAGAAATTCACTTTCCTGGCTGTTGTAATACAACACAGGAAAGTATTGTAATCGTGTCAAATTTGATTCTCCGTGTTTGTTTCGCAAATCTCCACTATTTGAGACTCCCTGAACCCAAAAGTTAAAAAAGAAGGAAAATTCCTGGTTTGTACTGTGTGTTAGCGTCTATTTTACGTTACTAATATTAATTATTAGTTTTAAATTCAACAGCATTAGAGGGCTGTACTGTGGCTGAATACTGTAACGATGGACGCGCCTGGTAAAGCGACTTTAATTAATACAGTTGTACAAACTGTATCAAAGCCTAGACTATGCCAAGACTATGTCATTGACTGCTTTCAGCAGAATCAATAGTTATAATTAAGCAAAGGTGTTTCGATCGTTAGCTGTTACGTAGCAATGTGCTGAAAGATGAGTGACGTATGCGTTGATACATAAAGTTGATGGCACTAGAAGTAGTTTCTGCTTTCACGTGTTTATTTAAAGATAGATTTATTTTCCTAAATTTATATTAGACATACCTGTTTTTAGTGGTTCATGA